CAAAGAAGGATGACACCAAGTAGCGTTTGCAATTTTCGGCGTGGACCCAATTTACAAAGTTTCAGTTTTGACCTGGCAGTTACAAGGAGCTTTGCAAGCAATGGCCTCAAGAAACGTGTTTTTTTGGCAACGTCACAGCTGTAGATGTTTTCGTACTGTGCATGGCAAAGCGATGACAGATCACAAACACACATATTCGGAAATAAAATATGATTATAAAAATTATTGGAAAATGTAAATGGAAAAAACATTATGGCAATACTTCTCATTTCAACAATCGTTGGAGGAGAAAGAGGATTGAGGCAATAGAATTTGTTACAGCGTGGAAGAACATATTTGTTCTTCTGGCCGTTCATAAAAATGTGTGGCTAAGGTTTATAAATAAAGCGAAGGTCTGTTAGGCATACAGAGCGATGGATATGCCAGTTGTGATTTAAATCACAATGCCTTTTGACAAGATTCAAGGAATAAGCCCGAAAGGAAGAAGTGAAAGGCAATGTTTCTGCAAGAAGTGGGCTTAAGGGACGGGTCCAGCTTCAGGTGTCAGGGGCAAATTCAAGAGAGAAATGTGGTTTTGAACTCATTGAATATGATGTTGGGGACGCAGATTAAAGCCTTACTCTTGGTTCTGACATCCATGCTTTTATTTATTGGTCTTGTTTTCGGGTTTTGTGGCTTATATTTAATAGAAAGACACCGAAACACTTTTTTCTCACTTACCTAGGATGGGTTCTGTATATTAAACCAAACCAAACAAAAAACAAAACCAAAAACAAAACAAATACAAAAACCCCCACAAAAACCGTAAAAGTTGACATCGCACTGAGTGCGCCCCTATGGAATGTGTACAAGGAGTACAAGGGACCAGTCAACCTGGCATACATGTAGGTGCAATGGAAGGCAATCAGGGCCCTGGTGATCATGGCCGGGGATGGTGATTGACCTATATCATAGCCAACCATTTTAGCTTTATGCCTTTGAAACGGTTTTAACAACCTTCCTCCCAAAAAGGGAGTCTTGAAACAGTAACAAATACAGTAGAAATAGAAAATAAAAAAAATATACATTTGTGTATAATTATATTAAAGAGGGAGGTGCCCTCTGGCTATGAAAGTAATCAAAGATTGGCTCAGTGAAAGGGCAGGAGAGGGTGAGTAACCAATGTTTGGCTCCATGGAAAAACCAGGAGCCTGAGGAAAAGGGAATTAATAAGCCCCTTGGCTATAATAAAAGAAAAGCAAAGATGGGCTTGCCAAAAGAAAGGCTGGAGCAGGGAAAAGTCAGAGGAAATTCCAGCCAAACTGGGAAATGCCCTCTAAAATGTTGGCTTCTCTTCCAAATCTCTGACTGCATTACTTTGAAGGTACATGATCAGGATGGGCAAAAAATAGCAAAATTTGATATCATGAAAATAAGGGAAAGTAATGACATCTGAGCATCATATCGATCAATTATGTTTGGGGGTCAGGCCGTAGTAAAACCATTTTGCTGGCTACTGGCCGTAGTTTGTGCGTTTTTGCTCTGAATGGCACTATGTGAGCCGTTCAAGCATTTGTGCCTTGGCTATATTAAAAAAAGGCAATGGCTATATTAAAAAAGGCAAAGAGTGGCTTGCCTCATGACAGAGAGGAGCAGGGTAAAAGGGAATGACCCTGTTTGCTGTGAAAGCATGCTTACAGTAGCTCGCCAATCGACGGGAGCAAAATAAAGGGGAATGAGCCCTTGGAAATAGGTGTAAACAGAGAGAAGTTGCATTTGACAAATAAGTTGCGCAGGGTGAGATGGCGGTGAGTTAGGGATGGGTGAGATATGGGGCAGGAAAGGGGTTATGCCCGCATTACAAAGGAGCAAAGGGAAGGAAGGTTGACGGGATCTGAAAGTTGCAGCAAAGAATCTGTCTGCCCGTACCTCAGACTAAAGACTCTGGAGCTTGAACAAAGCGAGCATGAGGGCACAAGAGGCCATCAGTTTAAAATCAGGTTGCTGTAAAGGGCGGATGGCAATAAGTGGGAGCATGGTTTAACAAGATAGGGGTTAGTTGCAGAGAAACGCATGAAGCCTGGGGAGGAACGTGTCTTTTTAAAATCCCACCCACCCCCAAGGGAAAGGGTCGCTTGCTTGGGCTCTGGTGCCTACGCTCGAATCTCTCAGAAAAGACTCTGGAGCTCGAACAAAGCGGCAATGCAGATAGTTTACTATTGCTTGGTGGACAGTCTCAGCCATTGTCTTTGCTAGCCGGCTCAGTATGATGAGATGACTTGGGCTTACGTCAAGGCCCATGATGTTCGGGTCACCTCTACATCCTGGTCATACTTCAGAGGGGTTCCTCCAGCTGAAATCTGCCAGGCGGCTTGTTGGAAATCTCCTTCCACCTTCACCGAATGCTACCTTAAAGATGTTCTGCGGAATGAAACGGCCCATGGCAGAGCAACCCTGCGCTTGTCAGTCCAGGCAACATCCAACGCTGCTGTGGGCTGGGTGGCTGATAGCTAGACTTAGTAGGGTCGCTGGGTGGACACTCACTCTCACGATGCCCGCCGTATGTTCTCCTAGTTAATATACTCCTGTCGCCGACCATCCTTCATTGTTTAGTGCCACTCTGCATATGTAGGCTGGGCAGGGGTATGTGAACGCAGGAGACTCCTTTCCCACGTGGAATGGGTTGGGTCTCCTGCTGATACTTGCCCCTGCCCAGCCACTCCTGCCCATCCTTCCCCACTTCGACTCCGGTGACCTTACTGCTTCGAAAAGAATGACAAACATGGCGTTGGGACCGCAGTGCATTGTGGAGGGTCAAGGGGCAGAATACATAATCAAGTCTTTTCAGTGAATTGTAAAAGACGCATGGGAAATTTACATGTGTAGGCTGGGCAGGGGTCAGTATCACAAGGAGACTTGACCCACTTCACGTGGGGAAGGACTCTGAGCATTAGATGTTCATCATGAATCATATTTTATATCTTGGACGTCATTTTTTGGGCCGTTTTTTGTGAACGTCATTCTGTTAGACAGATTTTCTTGTGAGAAAACTTAGTACAAAGAGAAAAATCTCGGAGTATCGCCATTCCAAGGAGGTTCTCATGAATATCAAAAGAAAAAGAGGGCACACTCTCTGGGTTGATGTCAAAGGTCAAACAGCCCATGATGCAGCAAAACATTCCCCTAACGTCACCGTGAGATATTGACTGATGCTGCAAAATTCATCATGATCGGTATTGGGACTGTGGTTCTCTGTAATGTACTTGGAAGAAAATGTGATCGATCCAGTCAAAAAGATGATGGTTTGGGGTGCTTTTGTGCCCTTTTTTTGGAGAGCTTGTGTTGTGCAACGATTTTGATTTTACTCGCTGTTTTTCGCGGTCAATTTTTTGACAGAATTGAATGACGTTCATGACTGCTGAATAAATTCATTGCTGTTCGCTTCATGAAAAATGAACCCCCAAAGTTAAACATAATCTAATGGTCCATATTTTGAGGAGCCTGCAAGTTGCAAAATCCCTCTGTTCTGTTCTTAACCCCTGGACGATGGGAATTTCTTTCCGAAAGACGACTCAAAGAATTCCAGCCTTGCTTGGCCACGAAGGCCACCTGCCAAACCGCAAATTCTTGGTTTGTGGCCCTGCGTGCTCTGCACACTTTGAATTACACAGTGAAAAGGCTGAGTGTTCGGTGGCATGCGGCTCTACTCAAGCTTCCACATTCCCGTTGCCTCTTTTCAAAATGGGGACTATTGTGAAGCTAGTGATTATGATGCAAATTCAGTCTTTTCATTTCTGGGCTATACACAAAGGCCAATCACCATATATGCAAGATCCAGGGCTGCCTTCTTTCAACCTGTTCACTCGAGCGTGGGCCGAGAATAATAGCTGAAAAGCGGGCTGAGGATCTCAATTTTTACGATGGCTCTAGCCGTTTCCCGGTGTGAAGGGGTCAAACATACATAGACCTCTGGTTACGTGTACATGTATGTCTTGGGTTGTACGTATGGGAGCTATATGTATACATATACGGCACTGGGTACAGAATAGTCTGTAAGTTCTCAACACTGACCTTCTAATGAAGAAATAGTGTGCGATGGCAGTGGATTGACTTAGATTTCTTTTGATTATGAACCGTAAATGTTGAGTCACGCTCATAACAACATGAAAACACGACAAAGGTCGTGACTTTGTTCCTTGTTCCCTGTTTTAGGAAACATTTCATATGCATGTTGCCCATACATACTGGGTACAAGGCTGTGTTTCTGTGGTTAAACTGGAATACACCAGCAAGTGTAGGCTCCACGTGGTACACATTGCATGTTAGTAACAAACAGGACACGATTGCAATCACGGTTAGAAAAGTCTGCAAATTTAATTCTTCACAACAGTTGCAGATTCCTTGGGTGTTCTAAATTTACGGATGGGTTATTTTTAATTGATTGGGGCAACTGGGCATACTGAAACTTTTGGCAGTAATAGAGCAGCATCAGCATGCATGCTTGTAACCACTCAGGACACCACATGTTACGAATGTTACCATAAACTAAGATGACTTTACAAAATACACAATCTCTCAGTTATTCACCTGAACTTAGGTACAGGCAGTAAGAAGACAAAACAACATCAAACACAACAGGAATAAAATCAAACCACATTACAGACTTTTTTAATCCATCATTATTTCTATGTCACATCTTGATGTCCCATTTACAACCATTACCGTCATATTTAGTTCCATGAAAATGTGATGGTTGTGTTCATGATAACGTTATTGCATTAATAACTAGTTTTATTCAGGTTTTTATAAACCAAGCCTCATGTTTCCGGTATTAAATAGTTGTACATTTGTCTGTTTTGAAGATGTGTGCTTGTAAACTTGGCATACTTGGGTTTATTTAATCGTATATTGAACATGTAGATGGATATGTGCCTGTATTAATACTGTGTGTATGATGAAACAAATCTTTGAGAAAATCTTTGAGTATCAACTTAAATACATTAAATTTGATTCACTTTTAGCCCACACATGAAGAAAGTCAACCCCCATGTGAACTGCCAACAGGAGTGTCCCTGGCCCCTCACCTTGCTGTTGGAGATTTAGCATACCCTCCAAAAGGTAACAAAATCTTCAATTGTTTATAGTTGTATCTTGAGATGCACAATTGCACATGCAGGAGAGAGGAATGGTCATCCCTACATCTTTTTAGTTGCAGAACTATAGTGATGAGTTTGATGTATGGATACAGGTATTTGTGAATTGTGCAGCATGTATGTGTATATAATGCCAAGTTCTGTCTGTCCATCTATCCATCAGGCGGCTGTCCTTCCTATTTGTCCGTACATTCAGCTATTTGCCATCATGTTAAGACTTTGAAGTTTTGCTTGTCGTTAATAGAGTACCAAAGTGAATACATCACGTGTACAATTAGTGTGTAAAATGCATTAGGGCAAGAACCAGCGCTTGAACCAACACGTGCGCGTACTCCATTCAGTTGCACTAAACTTTCTGGTTCACAGTGACGTCACACATCAGTACTCCATATGGAAATAATAAGCAGTGGGTTTGGTTTTTTTATTTTATCAATACTAAAACCTCACATGTGCTGGTAAGAGGATCATATGGTGGTGCCATTTTTTGCACTGCAACTTTTGAAATGTTGGAGACAAATTTTATGTGCCAGCTGCATGCAGGTAGCCTAAATTGTTTGTGTTTGCGTGGGTAAAAAAATTATGTTGGTTTCAGTGAGACAAGAGAATTTTTCTCCCATAATTCACGATTTAAAAAAATTGATATAAAATACGGCTGTGCCAAATGTCAGAATATTCAGACATGTAATCTGAATTATCGATTAGTCGAGCATTGTTTTTCAAAATTGAATATTGGGATGAAAAATTCATGAATAATGAAAGGAAAAATTCATTTCTTATGTCACATTCTATGCCCCAGTGCAGTAGTTACAGTTCTCTTCCAAAATGTAATTCTACAGCTAAGTTTGTTGCAGTGCCCTTCATATGGAGTGAAATATGTAAACGCCTATCCTATGTCTATTATTACTATTGCTGCTACTGGTATATTCATGTAGTTTTTAATCCAGAGTATTGAGAAGCACCCGGATTGTCTGGTCTGTACTCTACCATAAAAAAAACATGTTGGAAGGATTTGGCCGAGCAGTACTGAAAATGAGACTACTGTCCATTTGTGCAGTTACATTTACAGAACATAAATGTCTCAGTTGAACTTTCGGTAATGGAGGTTTGCTCTCTAGCTCCCTGCACACATTAGTGGATAGATGTCATGGAACAAAATATTAAGTACAACTTCATGCAATGAAGATACCTCTGTCTCATTCATTAGCAAAAAAAGTTCAAAAATAAATAAGACACAGATACTGTATGTGCAATTGGTGAAATTTGAGTTCTTTCTCGGGCTTACGTTTAGGTTTTTCTTATTGCAAGTCAAATCACAAAGAGAAATGCATAATTTTGCATCAAGTGTAGTGAAGAATAAGATGCATCAAAATATACAGGTTACATGCTCGGGAAGTACTGTTGCACTGGTTCCCACTGCTACTGGTACATGCTACATGTGCCGGTAATTGCAAGAAATCAACTATCATGGATTGACCAGCAGCTGATTTCACGAAACTTTACGCAATGACGTAACTCCACTTACGCCACATTTTATTGCGTAAGTTGTGCAACAAATAAAACCTATTTTACAAAACATACACACTGCGTAAGTCCGGGACTTATGCAACAAATTATGGTGTAACTTGCGCAGTCATTTTAGGTGGTGTACGTTGCGCCAAACGAAGTGACAATGAATGATTTGACGTGCTTGTCGGGTTCGGTTAAGCCTCATTACNGCAACCTTGTAAACAGAGCCCAGATTGTGCGGTGTTATATAACTGTCTTTTGTTCACGAACCTGGCTCAGTGCACTGCTGGCCTCTTTTCAATAGGGGCCAGATCAGCATGCAGCGGTGCTGTGTGGCTCATCGCTGCGGTGGTGGAGCGCTTTTATCCCCAGTGGTAATCCGCTTGCTCTCAATGCCCCAAACCCTGGTATAGGGTTTCAAAACAAGGCTGGATTATCACCACTTTTGAGAGTGAAAAATGTTGGTAATGCCCAGCAGCCTGGTCTTTTGTTCGGAGTACGGTCTTTTGTTACAGGGCCCTGTTTCCTTTGTCCGAGTTCAGCGACCCCGGCCACCCATATAAATCATAAGTCTCCGATCCCGGAGTCCCCGACAGGAAGTGGTTAAGGATTATACGAGAAATGAACAACAATAATAAACTTGTTTGTCCAGTTCCGACGAAGAAAAGATGAAAAATTTTTCAATATGAAGGGCAGATGTGATTCAATGACTGTTTGATGACTGCTGTTATATTGGAAAAGAACAGCTGTTGTAAAAGCAATTTTTGTCCTCGTCCAAGAAATTTAATATTTGACGTGGTGCATCTACGCAACTTTTTGTGAAATCGAACGTAAGCATATTGCACAGCTACGGCATAAATTTGTGGCGCAAGGCTTATGCATGGTTTAAAGTTACACCACATTTCGTGATGTTTGCTGCAGGAGTCAATTTTTAGCTTTGAACAAACAAAAGACCTGTCACGGTCTGTGCTCACAGCAAGATATTGTGGCCCCCATGGTGGCACAAAACCTATTCAAAGAAAATGTGAAGTCCCTGAAACAAGAATGATGTACTAACATCCGTCCATGGGTAGGAAATAAAATTCTTGGTGAATAGCGAATGGCAAGGAAAATTGAATTTTGGGCCACTCTTCTGATTGGTATTTCTTTTTATTTCTCTGAAGTAGAGCACTTAAGCATTGCATTCCACAAAGTAATACAAAGATCTGCATTTTTTAACCACTTAATCACCAAAAAAACTCAAACAAACAAAAAACAAAAACATCTTGAAATAGTTCGCAGTACTCGCTGCTACACCTGACTCAGACCGGCCAGCTGACCATGGCAAGCTCGCTGGTCGAGTGGTTAAGACGACTGCACTAGTAGGTGGGAAGTCATGGGTTCGAGTCCCACCCAAGTGAGCTTGTGAATTTTTTCGCAAGCTCTTGCACAAGTACTGAGCATGCAGTATTTATTGATACATACGTTGGGTAAGGGCAAAACCTGTTGTAAATTAACATCTCCCCAACGCCCCCCCCAAAAAAATCCATCTTGGAATGGAACAAAGTTGTTTTTTTTTTACGTATAAACCTTAGTAAGTTCGGCAATGATGTGGGTTAACCGGACCCGATACACAAGTCACATGGTTCATTTTCACTTCGTTTGGTGCAACTTACATCACCTAAAATGACTGCGTAAGTTATGCCATAATTTGGTTTGTAAGTTTTGTGAAATCCGTCTTAATTTGGGTTGCAACATGCGCAATGAAATGTGGCGTAAGTGGAGTTATGCCATAGTGCAAAGTTTCGTGAAATTGGCTGCAGGGCTTTTCAACAAAAGTAAGACCACTGCTGATTTCCAACATTTTGGAAAATGGCCCATGCAGAAAGATGAATTAACCAAAGCACTGAGTAATAGGTAAAAGTGTGTCCACAGAATTAAGAAGTAGCTTCCTTGAACGGGGTCAACGGCACAGCACTTCATACTAGAATAAAAAATGATCGTATGAACATCATCGACAGAAAGTCGACTAAAACTGGATGAAGTATCAAATGAAAAAGTGCCAGAAGGGGGAGACGACTGAGAAGAACTTATTGCATATGTCAATTTAAGTTGAATATTTGATATTTTCTTGACCAAAAAATCACCCCATCTCTTCAGTGAACGTCAAATCATCCGTATGTGAAGGCAACAAAACATTATTTGTGCTCTGCCTAAATAAGTCGTAGTCATGCTGAAGCTTGGTTGTCATCCATTTACGTTCAAGTTTCCCATGTTCTCTTTTCATTCGTCTAATCTTATCATTAAACCATGGAACGCAAGGCGGAGCATTAATGGTTTTAGTTACAGCAGGAGCATCATGATTAACAATAGAATGTAAAACGTTATAAGAAGTGGAAAAATAATCAGAGTCCTTAGAATTACATGATGTTAAATCACCGCAATATAAGTTCAGATGACAGAATATAATTTTTGAACCTTTTCATGTCAGCAAAATTGATGCTCCTGTTAGACAGTTTTCATAGATAAGCTCGGTCTACTCAAATTTAATGTACACAAAACTGAAGAATGATCTGTAAACAAGTAATCACTAATTGGGCTGCACTGAAGTAATGAATCTGACTTCTGAGTAGTGAGTAAATCCAATGTGTGACCTTGTACATGAGTGGGTTGGTCAAATGATTCCATTATTTTGGAAAAACGAAGTGCATCGCTGTCATCAGAGACATCAACATGAATATTAAAATCACCAGCAATTAACAAAGGTATGTTAGACAATAAAACAGTGTTAAGATAATCAGAAAACTCACATAAAAACAAGCATGATGTGACACAATGGTTAGAGGAGTACGGTGGTCTATAAATGATGACTATACGCAATTGGTGAGAACACACACCTACAATCCATTCAGAAAACTCAAAAGATGACTTTTCAGCAGCAGCTACCTTTTTGGTACCTTTTTTCACGTAGAAGGGCTGTTCCGCTACCACATCTGCTGTCACACGGGCGATCCAGAAGTTTGTTACCTGAAGAAGTGGCTGCTGATATATAAGCACAGTCACCGTCCTTTAACCAGGTCTCGGTCAACATGAAAATATTGACTCCACTGGTGCAAACATAATGAAGGAACTTAATATGGTGTCCACCTGACTTGGGAGGAGCATTCTGAAATGAAGGTGTAACCAGTGTTTGGCCAGCAGACACAAATCATGATTGATGACGAATGAGTGGTTGATGGCCAACAATGACAGAGATTTTATCTTTACAGTTTAGACCTCGTTTGTGTTGTTTTGCCCATTTTCCTCTGTGTTTTAAAATTTCATTAATTTTAAACAGAAGTTTTTCTGTGGTAACATGACAACATGATGAATAACGGAGATGCAAAAGTTCATCTTGAGAGTATGAATGTGAAGGACCAGTAGTACACAGTCAGTGGAACACGTTTCTGTCACGTTGAGCAAGGAACTACCATCATCATT